TTTATCCTATGACCCTTCTGTTTCCCATCCCAGGATGGAGGTGTATGTACATGTATATTTGTGGGGGTTTTTTACATATATATATATATATATATACTCTGGGCCAAAGCTCTGCAGGAGGGAGAAGGGACGAAGGGTTGCACCGTGCCCTCGACGGGTGAGGCTCTGTTCAGTGATGCCGTTAGCACAGAGATTTTGCGTTTTCCCGTTTTGCCCCATTTTATCCCCATCTCTGTGCAGGGCCTGTGAAATCGCCCTTCGGGGTGACCCACTGCTGATTTTAAGCTCTCGGTCCACAAGCGAGGCTTTTTCTCTCTGCCCGCTGTTGGCCACCATTGTCGATATGCCGCTGCCGCAACCCAGGGCACGCTTGCGTCGTCTGGCTGTTTTCCCACTGATGTCTGGATAAAAGTCGTCTGGCTGTTTTTCCACTGATGTCCTGGATAAAAAAAAAAAACCCTTGACTTGTGCCCAGCAAAGCAAAAACCATCTTGCCGGTAAACTTGCAAAAGCGGCACAAAATGCAGCTTTCCCCTAAGATACTAATTTCACCAACAGAAACCTTGTCATTTATACTGCATTCATTTTTAATACGTAGCCTCCAAAGACAGAAACGTGTGTACAGCAATCGTGTCAGCTGAGTTACATGGGAAAAAAAAGCCTTTTAAATGGATGTTTTTAAAGTGATGCCTGCTCCAAGGCCGGTAAAAGGCTTTGCCGCTGCGTGGCCGGTGGATCTGCTGCCGAGAGGAGTCCAACATGGGATTTGCAGGAGCCAGAGTGGAAACTTCAGCCCCAAATGCCGTCTGGAGTTGTTCACTGCAATTAAAAAACCCCCAAAAAATCTTATTTACATAGTCTGTTAACACTAATCAGTGCTTAAAGTATAAAGGATGCAGAATCCGACAGTGTCATGGAAGTTTAATGCTATCAACTGGAATATAATTAACAGCCAATTATTTTGGCGTGAATGATAGTTTTCGTCAGTCTGGGAAGGGTTTAAATTGCATTAATTTCATCGCTGCCCGCTTGCAGGAGATTTGGAAGGGGCTGGAACGAGCCGGCGTGCGACAGGGCTTGTCCGCACAGGGCGATGCCTCCTTCCCCCCCAGGTGGTCAGGAATTACAGTACACAGACAACCCCCCCAAAAAAAAAAGGTTAAAAAAAGGAGGAAAAAATAAAAAGGGACAAAAATGCTGGGGAAAATGTGCTGTGGAAGCTTTTTGCATCAGGGTTGTTGCATTCAGGAGGCGATTCCTACTAGCAAATTTAACTTTGCACCCCAATATAGCAATGCTTGCAAGGTTGAACTGCAAAAAAGTTTTAAAAATCATTCTATTCTCCGGATTGTATTTTTGCGTCGTGTTGCGGACGCGCATGGACCCCCTCGTGCGGGGCGCTGAGCCCCGGTCCCCGTTCGAGAGGGCTGATGCTCACTTCAAGCCGCGTACAGCTCCTTCACAGCTTCAGACAGAGGCACAGACCCAGCCAGCTCGCAGGAAGGCATATGGAAATCCCCGCCGAGCCGTCTGTATGTGGAAGAAATAAGAGGCTGAAATGAGGTTTCTGAAGAATTGGCCCTGTTTTCCTGGTTGTTGGAACTTTCCTGTAACGATCGCAAAGAGCTGCCTGCAAATGGTGCTTTTCGGATCGTTTGTTTAGGTGCTTAAACTTGGCATAGCAGCGGGGATTTCCTCCCCCTGCCCCCGTTTTAAAATGAAGTTAAAATTTCCCTCTCAAGCCGAGTCGTTCTCTTAATGCAATTTATGCAAATAAAATGGGCTTCCTCCGTAGGACCCTCTTGAGCTGGAGCTGCCGGTTAAGACGGGATGGGAACTTGCAGGAGAGGGATTGCGAGCAGATGCTCGGTGCTGGAAGTGGGGGAGGCGAACCGCTTTTGGGGGGGGGATAATTGTGTTGGCGTGACTTTGGTGGATGAGTGCTGAGGGGCTGGGGACGGGGAGCCCAGGGAAACGGCAGAGCGGGGTGGAAATCCTGCGTGGGAATGAGGGTGATTACAGGTGTAAGGCAGCGTATGGGATGGCTGCTTCCATCCAGCCCCAGTCCTCCTGGTAGCAGGTGCTAATGAAAAGCTTGATATAACGCAAGAAATTGCCCGTTAAGTGGTTTCCTAAGGAAACTGCGGAGAGCAGGAGATGCTGTCATCCCCATCGCGTCCCTGAAACGCCAGCTTCTTTCCCAGAAAACCCTTTAAAAACTTGCTGGGAAGAGCGCGGAGGGTTTGACTTGCCTCGAAGCCCATTCCTGGTTTTGAGAGCGAAGAGGGCGGCGGGAACCCCAGGAGGGAGCTGGGAAGAGAGCAAGGACCACAGCACTTCATGATGTATTAAGAGCCGACGGCGTGTCTTTTGCTGTTTGAGCCTAGCAAGAGGTGTAGGGTTTTTCCCCTCAAACCTTGGCTGCGTGGATTGTGCTTTGCAATTTTTATATATATGTCTGTACAAAAAATGGATTGTGCTTTGTAATATATATATTACAAAATAGATATTGCTAAAATAAACATACATTGCAAAGCGCAATCCATTTTTTGTGTGTATATATATCTTAAATTTTTTTTTTTATATATATAT